GGGGCGATCAGCATGTGTCACCTCTGTGCGGAGCCATGCGAATTGCCAGTCGCTGCCCCGCAAGAATTGGGATATGATTTTCCCGCTGCGAACTAACGGCTCGTACACCTCCGTGTCTTTAGCCCGGCGCACGCACGCGCGGCGCTGCCGGCGCGCTCGCAGCAACGCCACTTGCTTGCCAGGGGGGGTCATGTTGCGGTCCTGCGCAAACGCTCCGCCCCGAAACTCGCCCCGGGCTGGTGGCCCCCATGCGTCGAACGCGTCGGTCAGGCCGCAGTCGGCCGCGGCCAAGAACGCCTGCTGGCTGAGCGGGAGTTCGTCGCCACTCAACCCGCCCATGGGCCATGGCCCGCGTGGCGCAGTCAATGGCTCGACTTCGGGAAGAGACGCAGCCTGTTCGGCAGCCTGCCGTTTGACCACTTGCGGTTCGACTGCTTTGGCAATCCACCTGTCCTTCTCGTCCTGGGGGAGACTATCGTACTCTGCCTTCAACGTGGTGCGCTGCAGGGTCCGCTGACGCTTATCCCGCGGCCCCGCGGCGCTGCTGCTGGGTTTCTCCATGGCGTTCGCGTGCGTCATCCAGCCAGGAGCGGCGCGGCCTTGCCTGCTCGCGGCGCCATTGCCGCGCTCCAGCGGAACTCCGGCGAACGGCGAGTCCGCAGCGTGCTCCTCCCGAGGGCCTGGGCCGCCACTTTGAGGACGCTGCGACAGGCACTCAGTGAGAAATCCGTTGGCCCTGACGCGCTCCATGAACACGTCTCCTTTATCGACGCTCCTGTGGATCAGGGCAAACAAACGTTCGACCCCCATGTTGGTGATCAATGCGTGGCGCCCGAATAAACGGAAGGCCCTCCAAAACTTCTCGTCGTTCAGCATCCGCCATAGTGCTGCGAGGCGCTGAATCAGGGCGTACTGACATTGGGGCCATCGGGCCCCTGCTAAGAGACCTACTCGGGCGCCTCGAGACAACTAGCGATCGCTACAAACAGGCCAAGACAACTCACGGCGCTTCAGGGGGCCCCGAGCGGTCTTACAAGAGAGCCCTGGGAGGTCAGCATTATAACCTCATCGCGCGTCCCGGTCCTGAGGCAGGGCGACCCCCTCGCGCGCCCAAGGCAATGCCACGGCGCGCGGCGTGACCCCATGATGACTTCGAGGCGGAACAAGATAGCCCCTAACAAGAGCGAGCGAGCGCCCAAGATGGCCACGGTTGCCCCGGAAGAATTCCAGGGGGGTGATGGCCGAAGGCCGCTGGCTTTCCTCTGGCGTCTCCCACAGGTCGCGCATCTTCCTTGCGAGCTTCGGCTCAAGGCAGCAAAGATCGTCGTGGGGGAATTCTTTAGCTGCCTGTCTGAGCTCAACCAATGGCGCGTCCGACGCTAGACGCAGCAGACGGAAGGGCCAGTCTCCCAGCGCGTAGTGAAACTTTTAGGGGGCTGACAAGCTGGGGAAAGGGGGGGTCGAGGAGGGGTCTCGAAGCAGACTATCAGGAGCCTGCGCAGCCCCTCGCATCGAGGCCCCGATGGGCCCAGGGGCGCGGAGAGCGCGGGGCGAAAACCTCGCGCGGGCGGCAGCGGTGACTGCGCAAAGGAGGAGGACGAGGTGATAGAGGAGGGCGTCGACCAGGAAGGAGAGGGCGGGTTTGCGGAGCACGAAGTAAGGGGAGAGCGGGAGAAACAAACGCGGAAGGCTGATGAGAACGTCTTCCTCCTGACCGACGCACTCCTTCATCGCTCCTCCCCGTGCCCTCCCGAGTCGCCCTGGCAGCCTCGCCCTCCGATCATGCCCCGCGACGGTCTCGTCGCCATCATCCCGCCTGCCCCTTTCCAGCCGAAGCGCCGCCAGTGCAGCTGAGCGTAGGCGGCGGCGCAGATCTGCGCGATGGTGCCCTTGGCAATCCTCAACTCCGTGAGCCGCCCCTCGTAGTGATAGAGAAGCATGGGCACGCCAGGCGCTGACATGGTGTCGTGGGAGGGCGGAGCCATCAGAATGGTCTTCAGGCGGTTCTGGCACTCGACAAAGGGGCTGATATGAGGCCTGATAACCTTACAGGGCAACGATGCGGACGACGCCGGACACTGATAAATGGCGAGATCGGCCGAAGGTACCCGATATTAGGAGATCATGGGCCGACAAAGGAGGAGGAGGAGGAGGTGGGGGAGGAGGAGGAGGGGGAGGAGGAGGAGGAGGAGGAGGATAAGGAATAATAAGGGTGAGGGGTGAGTAGGTCAAGGAGGAGGGGGGGGGGGAGGCGGAGAGGGTTCGATCAGACGAGTCTCGACATGCTGCGCATCCGTCCGTCTTGTCCCGCCTCGCACGACCTCCCACAACCTCCTTCCTATCCTCCACCAGAGCGGCAGCTGGGCTCTCGGCGTCCATGAGGCCAGCGCGGTGCTCGCCCAACCACTCCAAACGCTGCCGCAGCCAGTGCGTCGGGCGCCCCGCGACCATCGCCGACAACATCCTCACTTTAAAAGTGAGCCCCCTCATGACGCAACAGGCCCTGTGCACCTTGCTATTCACGTATTTCCTGTAGTGCACGGTGTCTGCCTCCTGCGGGCGTCGATGAATGGGGGGGGGGGGGGGGGGGCGCAGCCGCAAAGAGGGGGCGAAGCGCGGCGCAGGAGGGGGCCGATCGACAGAGCGGTGGAATCCACGCGGCGGGGATGGCGAGGGCCCCCCGCTCTTCCTCATCGCCTTGCTTTTTTTCGGTTTGCTGCGCCGCCAGCTCCGCACCCCTCGCCCTTCATCTGCCCCCCCCCCCCCTCCTCCCTCGAGCCCCCCTCCTCCGCCTCTGTCTCTCTTGGCCCCCGTGTCCTCCATCCGCTCGCCGCGCCATCTCCACCGCCTCCTCCTCCTCCGCCTCCGCCTCCTCCTCATCTCCCCCCCCCTCCTCTTAGAGGAAGAGAGGGAGAGAGAGAGAGAGAGAGAGAGAGAGAGAGAGAGAGAGAGAGAGTGATGCGAAGAGAGGAGACGAGAGCGGGAGAGAGAGAGAGAGTGAGAGAGAGAGAGAGAGAGAGAGAGAGAGAGAGAGATGAGAGAAGAGAGAGAGAGAGAGAGAGAGAGAGAAAAAAAAGAGAGAGGAGAGAGTGAGAGAGAGAGAGAGAGAGAGTGAGAGAGAGAGAGAGAGAGAGAGAGAGAGAGAGAGAGAGAGAGAAAACGGAAAAAAAAAGAAGAGATGGAGTGAGAGAGGATAGAAGAGAGAAATGGAGAGAGAGAGAGAGAGAGGAGAGGGAGAGAGAGAGAGTGATGCGGAGAGCGAGAGAGACGAGAAAGAAAAGAATGAAAGAAAGAGAGAGAGAGAGAGAGAGAGAGAGAGAGAGGAAAAGGAAAAAAAGAAAGTGAAGTGAGAGAGAGAGATAGATGAGAGAAAAGAGAGAGGAGAGAGAGGAGAGAGAGAGAGATGAGGACGACGAGAGAGATGAGAGCGAGAGAGAGAGGAAAGAAAGAAAAGAATGAGAGAGAGAGGAGAGAGAAGGGAAAAGAAAAAGGGGGATGAGAGAGAGAGAGAGAGACAGAGAGAAATAAAGGAGAAAGAGAGAGAGAGGAGGAGCAGAGAGAGAGAGAGAGAGAGAGTTAGAGAGAGAGAGAGAGGTGGAGAGAGGAGAGAGAGTGAGAGAGAGAGAGGAGAGAGAGAGAGGAGAGAGAGAGGGATGAGGAGGAGAGAGAGAGTGAGAGAGAGAATAGAAGTGAAGAGTAGAGAACGAGAAGAGAGAGAGAGAGAGAGAGAGAGAGAGAGAGTCCCTCTTGGCGCTCGAATCTCACGATTTTCCTGCACTGAGCCTCGCGTTCTCGATCTTGATCTCAATCGAGAAGGCGCCAAGCGGACTGCTGTGAGCGCGCCCTGGGCAGCCCGCTTCCCTGAAACGGCCTAAGCCAAAACGCGGCGGCAACTCTGAAGTGAACGGAGAGCAGGATGACAGAAAGATAGAGAGAGGGAGAGAGGACACAATAGAGATTCACTCGGGTGGGAAAGAGAGAGAGAGAGAGAGAGAGAGGCCCATCGCGCGCCTCGTGGTACTGCAGGGCCGGTCATGATCAGCATCAGCTCTCTGGGCAAAGGGGGGGGGAGGAAAGGTGACCTGAAAGGGATGACACATATCAATAGAGGGGGAAGAAGTGCTCCACGCTAATACTCTGACAGCATGGCACCCACTGGAGCCCCATGTCGAGCTGATGCCGCCTATTCTCCACCGGCAGGAAGAACTTGAAAAGGGAACTTGAAAAGGGAGAGCGGGAAACGGGAAAAACCTCTGGGTCTGAGTTCGTCACTGAGGTACAGCTTACGAGACCTACAATCAAGACCTCCAAGGTACATGGGGGAGGGCCTGAAGCTGGAAGAGGAAGACAGGGGAAAAAGGCCCATGGCGCGGGTCACACCTGAGGGAACAGCTCACGGCGTTAGCACATCACCTCTGGGAGCCTTCTTTCAGAGGGTTGGGGGGGGGAGAGAGCAGGGATGATATTTAAGAAGGAGAGGGCAGTGGATATCAGAGACCTGGGCATCAAATCCTAAGAGAGATCGGCTCCGAAGTCTCATCACAAACCTGCTTTACCTTACGGGGTCTCGTTCCCTGACACTGTGCGGGGTGGGCTACAAGCCTAGGGAGGAGAGTTAGAGCACTGCCAAATGGGAGTTGACCTGCCATCACTGGAATCGAGGCCCCTACCAGGCCCGAGATCATGTGACGGACTATTGCCTGCTCCTGATCATTCGCTATCGTGAACGGAAGTGCAAAAATGTTAGATAACTCTTGTAGCATTCCAGCCTCTCGAGTATGTGTCCAATGCAAGGTAAGGTACGCACGGACCACTTGGATCATCCTCCACTCCTTTACTGGAATCAAGATATTCACTATGAGAGCAACACAAAAGCCAATCACGAAACCCAGAATGATCCAGTCACGAGGTGGTCGACTCGATATCACGAAGTTCTTCTCATGGCAGATGTCTCCGTCCTCGGAGTCTGTATCAGCTCCAATGGTCTCGGCACTCACATCTCAGAGGGCCGTGCCATTAAGGATTCCCAGGACAAGCTGAACACGCTTCGCCTTGCTCGTCGGTGGATGGCGCTTCGGGAGATGGGCGATGATGCACTTGTTGATCTGCGCGACCACCGTCTTGTCTACCATGCGCGCCTCCAAGACTTGAGCTGCCTCCGCCCAGGTCATGCGTGTGCCGAGTTGTTTCTTGCCGCCGATGAGGGACTGGGGCCGGCCGATCTCCGCGCGCTTGAGAAGGGCCGTGCTGGCGGGGGCCTCCGCCACCGGTGTCGGGCTCACCTCTCGCTCGGCCACAGAAGATTTTTTCTGCTTGTTGTTGCTGTCCGAGGCCTCTAGGAGCTTGCTGAGCTGGTCCCCGAAGCTCGACTTCATGGCCATCGCCACATACTCGCCCTGCTTGCGAAGCTGCATCTCCTCCTTCCTGTCCTCCTTGTCCTTGAGCGACGCCTTGAACTCAGGATCCACTGCGGCCAACTCCTCACGGAGGCGCTGGACGTCCACCTTCTTGCCTGAGGCGGAGCGGGAGCGGCGGCGACCATGACTCTGGCCACGGTCACGGTCTCCACGGTCGGAGCCACGGCCACGATCATCACGATCAGAGCGGCGATCATAGGGAGCATCACGGTGATCTCGATGGTCGCGATACTCTCGGTACTCTCGAATGTCACGAACATCACGCGTGTCACGGTAGTAGTCCCGATGCTCCCTGGAATCCCGAGAGTCTCGGTAGTCACGGTCCCCATCCCGAGGTCCACGACGGTCGGGACTGTACCTGCACTCACGATCCCAACTCCCGTCACGACGCCGAAATTCATGACCACCGTCCTGGTAGCCGTAGTTGCTGGGGTTCCCTTTACTCTCGCGAGCTCCACCTTTGTGCACCCAGGGTTGACGAGGCCCACGGGATCCCATCTCGGTCGGATGGAGGAAGAAACGTTGCCAGCACCTCACCGTCGCTCGAGCCGTCTGTATGGCCACGGACCAGGTGCATGCCTGCAGGGAGGCGATGATCAGCTTCGAGGGGTATCCCATGACAAACAACTCCAATACGAGCTCCAAGACCCAAGACGTTACCACTCTCACAGGTAGGCTCAGGTACTGGGCTCTCGCGAGGCGTCCTGTGAAGAGAGAGACCACCATATTGAACCCTCTTGGCGGGAGTCCAGGCCAAGGAAGAATATTTGTTGTTGGGCGGGGTTCTGCACAACCTTGGAGAAGCCGAACGCGGTTCTCATTCTTCGGGTGAATGGAGATCTTATGCGCGGAGGGCCACAACTCCAGGTCCAGCCATATGCACGGTGCCTGGGGGTCCACGAGGTCCGAGGCTGGGGAGAGCTTGACCTGGTAGACCTGGGACAGGTAGAAGTAGACACATTGCCTGCAGTACACCTTGCTAACACCTAGGATGTCGTCAACATACCGACGTTGTCGAATCTCCACCTTCCCTGAGGACGACGATATCTGGAAACCAAGGTCCTGAAACTGTTGTGGCTGACGGGAGGCTCGGAGTTCAAACCACGCAAGTAATATCGATAAGGCCACACCTGATAATGCACCACCAATTGGTAAACCTCTAAGTTCATAGACAATCCCGCCAATTGTCACTAAAGATAACCAACAATATGCTAACATCGTCGACGTGATATTTGCTATAGTTACCTTGAAATACATTGGTGGGGTTCCTGATCGAAAAGTTTTGGTTTTGTTTTCTTTGCCACGCTTAACTAGTACTGCATCTGTTCCTAGACGATGTGATATTTCTGCTGATTCCTCCTTCCACGCTTGACCGATGAGAGTAGAATTACACTGCTTATACGCCTGATCAGCATCAGCAACCACAATCGAGATGGATGTGAGATGGCAAGAACAACGGAGGCACTCATCAGTGCTGGGTGGGTCAAGGTCCTGGACGATGCGGTTAATCTCACGAGCAGCGTCTTTCATGTCACAGACTTCGCACGATACCTCGCTCTCACGAAGAAGATGTCTCGTAGCTCTGCCGATTACACGATGCCCTGCTGTCCCTGGCGCATCTGCTGAGTTGACAATACGGCGCATACAGCTGTGACCTGGTTTCGTACAGCAACGCACACCTTCAGGAAGAAAACATTTGTTTTTGACAGTCGGGAATACATATGGCGGGTTTGTCTTTTTTGTAGGGTGGGGTAACATATTCCTAGTGCGTAGCCAGGGGGAAGTCCATGTATAGCCCTAGACCATAGCCATAACGCTGCATCATACTGAGATATATCCAACCGTACTTGCCAACCTTTGTCAAGCTCAGCGGTTTGGTGGAGCCATCGAACCACATCACCCCCATCTGCCACCCATATTTTATCACACTGTTTGTCATCTGCGATATACGTGTCACTGCCTGCTTGTTCCAAAGATGCCTGCATTTCTTGCTCTAGGGATTGCCGGCGCGGTGGAGGTGGAGGTAAGGCCACATATAGCTCTAGAGGTAGAGGTGACGAGAACCTTTTCTGCAAATTATCCAACCCTCGTCGGATAACTGGCTGAGAAAGTCGAGCTGCTTGTGCCCATTCCAAGAGGCATACCTTTGCACTCCTGAGGGCCACGCGGGGGACGCACCAAACGGGTAGTCGCCGCGAACCTGCCAACTGCTTCAAATGTAGTGGTCCTGACACGCAGTTGGACGAGACAACTGACTCAGGCAGGCAAGGCGACTGATACGCTGCACAAAAGCGGCTCGCCGATACTCGATCCTTCCAGATCCGACGTGCACGAAAAGAAACACGGGGAGGCTGAGCATGCCATTCCCGTGCTGGAGCATACCGCATCTGGTTCACCATCGACTGCATGGCCCCTTTGATTACACACTGGAGGTGCCTCCTCTGGCACTCAAAAGGTAGCTTCAAGAGGGGCCTTCGAGCCGCTGGTAACCCAAGACATTTCAAATGACGGTCTATGTGGAACTTAGCTACCCTGACTCTGTTGAAGTTCTGCAGAAAATCACCAGCTATACCTGCTGCTTTGAACAGGATCGCACCTACCTCCAAGCGTGATAAGAACGTACACACAGCCAACGGTCGCCATCTCGCTGCTAGGCACGCCAGAAGAAGTCCCAGATGCTCATGACCCAGATGCCAGAGGGGGCCCTCGACATTGGTGAGGAGGAGCTTTTCTTTGATCTGGAGGGTGTAGAGCATGCTGTACGGGGCGGGTTCCGACAGGGCTCCTGGGCACTGGCTGAGGGGGCCTGTGAAGGAGCCTCTGGGTGACCTCTACGTGGGCAGGGGTTGCAGTCAGCCAGACTGGGGGAGGAGTACGTCGGGGGGGTGGTCGTCTCCACGAGGGGGGTCGTCGTCGGGGTCGGTTCTTCACCTTAGGAGGAAGATGGAGGGTCCCCAAGCCCCGTCTCAAGCTCTGCTGTTCAGATTCTCGAGCATCAGCTGCATTCGCCGACGGTGAAAACCTCCGAATCGCGAGAGTTTCAAAATGGAAACTTGCTGCCTCAGATGGTACCCACAGTATTGGTAAGAAAAGCAACGAGCCTCCAGAACGCCGAAGTTCACGATGTCGAGGTCGATTTCCTGGTCGAACCCGAGGGTGTAGGAGAGCGCGAACGTGCTCCTGGATGCGCCCTAGAAGTCCAGGAAGGGCACGAGTTCTGAGACATGCTTTTCCGGCGCACAGAGACGCATAGCTGCCCAAGACGTACACTACTGCTCGATGAGGCCCACAACTCACGCCAAGAACACTGGAGAGTGCAGTCGACACGATCGGCTCATCCCAGTTGTGCACTCCACGGCGCCATTCTGGGGGTAGCATCCGCCAGACACGTCGAGCCCACTTGGGCATCTTTGGCATCATGAAGGCTTGCCGTAGGCGACAAAGAGCGGACATGGTTAGGATTAATCCGATAGTGCTCCACAAGGCAACTCCTCGAAACGGGCGAAAGTCTGTCGGTCGGTTGCCAACAAATTCGCACATCATAGCTAAGAACGTCGTGAGGTAGGCCCTGACATGTCGATGATCGCGGCGCTCCCACAACCACATCCTAAGCTGAGCCCCCAGGCCCCCCATCGTGTAGTCGGAGCCTTTCTTGAGGATCTCACTAACAAAATTGCTTGCCGTACGCGTGGCCATATTCTGCTGGATCGGGTATGGCATCACGAAACGAAGCTGCTCCAGCTCCAGGCACGGGGACGTCTCGCCGTCATCCACCTCCTCCACGAGCCTGACGTGTCGTCCCTGTGCGGAAACGGCTCCGAGCTCGACGTCCCTTCCTCCGATTCCAAAGCATCCAGAGTCAATAGGCATTCCTCGTGGCGTATCCGATCTTCGTGATGAAACCTGCGCCATTGCTCCTCGAGGTCCCAAAGAATTGGTCCCAGGGTCTGGTAATACTTCAGGGAACTCTGAACAAACTTCGCGAGCCATACTTCTCGACGTCGAGATACAACTTCCCTAATCAGATTGAACAAGGTCGGTTGTTCACACAGCGTGGGAAACGTCGGTGGCATGGGTGGACAGGGCGACGATGGGGCCGAAGAGGATGGAGAGGAAGTGTACACAGAGGGTTATATGCACGTCCGCTTGAGAGCAAGTGACGGGAACCGCAACTCCCCGTAGCCCTCGATGAAGGCTGGCTTGAGGTGCGTTAGGAGAGAGTCCCTCTTGGCGTTCGAATCTCACGATTTTCCTGCACTGAGCCTCAGGTTCTCGATCTTGATCTCAATCGAGAAGGCACCAAGCGGACTGCTGTGAGCGTGCCCTGGGCAGCCCGCTTTCCTGAAACGGCCTAAGCCAAAACGCGGCGGCAACTCTGAAGTGCACGGAGAGCAGGATGACAGAAATATAGAGAGAGGGAGAGACGACACAATAGAGATTCACTCGGGTGGGAAAGAGAGAGAGAGAGAGAGAGAGAGAGAGAGAGAGAGAGAGAGAAAAGAGAGAGAGAGAGGAGAGAGATAGAGAGAAAACAACAAGAGAGAGAGAGAAGAGAGAGAGAGGAGAGAGATGAGAGAGAGAGAGATAGGAGAGAGAGAGAGAGAGAGAGAGAGAGAGAGAGAGAGAGAGATAGAGAGAGAGAGAGAGAGAGAGGGAAATAGAGAAGAGAGAGAGAGAGAGAGAGAGAGGGAGCCCTGATCCGACGCAGCCGCGATCCTCTCCCACTTCGGGGAGGCGCGGAGGAGAGCATGCGCAGCAAGGTCGCGAACCATGATGCCATGGGGCCTCTCAGGCGGCGCGATGAGAAAGGCAGGACTGCGTGGCGCGCGGCGGGGCGGGGGGCGCATCCTCGTCCACCCCGTCCTACTCCCCGAGCGCTGCATCCAGCTCCTACTCGTCCTGGTCCTCTTAGTTTTCCTACACCTCCCCTCAGTTGCCTGGTCCATCCAGGTATCTTACATGCATGCGCCACCGCCTTGCCATCCACCGCCTGAGGCTTCTCCTCCCGCTCCTGCTGAGCGTCGCCATGCTCCTCATTGTCTGCTGTGAACTCCGCATTCGTCAGGCTCGCCCCCCCCCCCCCCTCCCCTCCTCCCCCCCCCTGCCCCGCTGCTCCCACAACTACGGACCTGTTGAGCCATGCTCTCGCCCACGTGCCCCCATCTGTTCTTGCTGGGCTCCCTGCAGCCCGCCGGGAGCAGCGCCGCCGACTCCAGCAGCGCGCAAAGGACGCGTTCGGCGGCGACCTCGCGGCAGCTGCAGCAACGGCGCGCGCGCGCTCGTAGTTCGCTATATTGTTCTTCCGCCTGCCCCCGTTCACGAAATGCGCCAATTTGGCGATCCTGCTGCGGATGGCCTCGACGCCCTCGGGGAGGAGGCGCGGAGGTTCAAAGCGCCCGCGGGCCCTCCGA